GAAGTGGCAAAGATCAAGAACTCTACCAAGGTAGCATTTGTGTTTAATAGTTTAAACTATTAAGTAATAAAATTCATGAGCTATTACAGAATAATAAGTCACCAATTTTATCGATAAAATATCTTTTGGATAAGCTCAATAAAGGGTGTGAGAGTAAAGCAAGAAAAAAGTTAAGGTAAAATATAATAAAAATACCTGGAGATTTTTCCCAATAGTTTCAAGTGCCCTTAGACTGCTCGTCTCACTAGGATCAAACCACGCCTGAACACGACAATAAGGAGGAATTCTCTGGACATCAGGAGATTCAATATCAATGTTCAGACAAATAACTAATGCAACGGTAAGTGTCTTGATCTAAAAATATAAAAATAAAATGGATAAAAGGGAAATTAACTTTCACGGGTGGATTCGGGTGAAGAATATAGCCTGAGAGATATAGGCTATAATTAGTTAGTATATTAAAAGGCAATATAGAAAAACACGTAGGATATATATCTTTCTAATAATGTACACGCTGTGCATTAAACTTATACAGAGTAAAAAGTGATGAAACTGAAAAAAACCTTTTCTTTAGTATAATTTTCTTGGTACAACTGCACGCCCTCGATTTCTTCATTTAAGTGTGGTGTTTCGAAGGCCAATATTTGCTTACTGTAGTCAAATGGATCGCCATATTCGTTATAAGAATATATGCGAGAACTGAAGGAATTCTGCTCTACCTCACCTTTATCCTCTGAATAAGGGTGATGGGGCAAGCGGCGCATATGGTGCCAAAGGATGAGCTGAGGCGAAGGCCGCGGCAACTCAAATTATTGTGACAAACGCAGAAATCCAGATTACTAATTGTAAATTTAAATTAAATGGGTTAATCATAAATATTTAAAATATACGTGGTGTGTTTATTATATCACTACTGCTTGAAAAGTCTTTTCGTTTTATTTGTAAAGAGAGAATAGCAATTCATTAAGGGTGCGTACAAACACAATTTTCTTTAGGAAACTTTGTATGTAAGCCTCTTATTACAATTTTAAGCAAAATAAACTTAATTTTTTTCATTGAATACATAAGGACTATGTTGTTATGGCCTCTGATATGGTCGCAGTCTCCTTTAGATT